TCTCACGAAGTTAATGGTATTGGCGATATTTGCACATTGGCGATTTCGCTCACTTTGAGCTCTATTTTGGGCCCAAATTTCCCCTTTTTGTTCCAGTCGACCAAACTCATAGTTATTTTGCTAGAACTCCTTTGATTCTGTCGATTGTGTAAAAGAAACTGCCCATTTACTGATTTCAACTACCCAATAAAGTGATAAAAAATTGGTAATTTAGCAATTTCATGACAATTAAAGGGAAAGTCCAATTTCAAAAATGGTCCAGAATTACAATACAAACATTCCTACCTAAAAAAACTTTTCTCTGTTCATTAGTCATGTCTCCAGGCCACTCTTATATTACGCTTGCTTTCCATTTTGAATTTTTATTCACACAAAAAATAGAAGATATGCTGTTATTCAGAGTACTACATTATTGTAAAAATGGTATAAATAATATCAGCGCATTTGTGAAAGCATATTAAACCCACCAGTTGACGTGTATTGGACGCATGATGTGATTTGTTTACTCTTGAACATTGGCAAAAATCGAACATTTCCGCTACTTTGAGCTAAATTTCAAGGTACTTAGTCTGTAAATCATTCACAATATATGTTTTTCTATCAAATGAGACCAAGAAAATGAGAATACAGCTATAAATACCATACGAAAATACACCACAGAGTCGCTGTTTTAACCGTTTCAGGGTTTTCGACGTACTAGTATGGCTTACGCACCAGGGTTATTGACGTACAGTGGACCCCCCCATAAAATTTTTTAATCCATTTCCAGAGCTCATTGTTTTGCGAAATTTTCGTTATCGAAATTTTTTTCCCCATAAGAAATAATGGAAATCAAATTAATCCGTGCAAGACACCCCAAAGTATGAAAAAAAAAAATTTTACCACATGAAATATTAATTTTAAAACACACAAACTGAAAAAGGCATGCACAGTTACATGACACTTACCTTTATTGAAGCCTGGGGATGATTGATGGGGTGGGAGGGGAGAGGTCTTAGTGTTTAGAAGGGGGAAACCCCTTCCTTAAAAAAATTGAGGTTCAAGTCCTTTTTTGGGGGTTTCTTCCCTTCTTTTTTTTTAAAGCCCTAGGACCAGCTTCAGAGTCACTGGGTTTTTTTTCGCCAACATATTGTCCCTAGTGGCTTGCCTCCGTTCCTTTATGACTTTCCTAAAATGTTTTACTACGTTCAGTGTAATTTGTCACCAGCCGGCTTGCAATAGCTGTTTTAGGGCGATGTCATCAAAAAAGGTTTGCACTTTAAGCCACATTCCACACATTTCCTTAATCTTTGAAGTAGGCAACTTCTTCAATTTCTCTCTCCCCTCCCCCGAACCAGTTTCCTCAGGTCTGGCCTCTTGCTGTTGAAGTTGATCTAGCAGCTCATCAGTGGTTAGTTCTTCATTGTCCTCCTCCACCAACTCTCCCACATCATCCCCACTAACCTCCAACCCCAAGGACTTTCCCAATGACTCACGAAATCGTAATGACACGATTGCAAACAAACCATACCCCGGCCGGGATTGAACCCGCGGTCAGAGAGTCTCAAAACTCCAGCCCGTCGCGTTAGCCACTAGACCAGCTAGCCACAATAAGATTTGTCCAACTAGGTATATTTCTACACCAAAGGAAGGTTAGCACAGGCACCACTGTGACCACAAATGCAAGTTTTTACAGACGAATCTCCAGCTTGCGTGGCCGTGACGAACTCTAGCTCAAGTCCCTTCACTGCCGTCAACATGACTCACGAAATCGTAATGACACGATTGCAAACAAACCATTGTGTCATTACGATTTCGTGAGTCATGTTGACGGCAGAGAAGGGACTTGAGCTAGAGCTCGTCACGGCCACGCTAGCTGGAGATTCGTCTGTAAAAACTTGCATTTGTGGTAACAGTGGTGCCTGTGCTAACCTTCCTTTGGTGTAGAAATATACCTAGTTGGACGAATCTTATTGTGGCTAGCTGGTCTAGTGGCTAACGCGACGGGCTGGAGTTTTGAGACTCTCTGACCGCGGGTTCAATCCCGGTCGGGGTATGGTTTACTTTCCCAATGCCACAAAGGATTCCTCAACTGGCATAGGATTCCCAGGGTTAGCCTCAAACCCTTCAAAATCCCTTTGGTCTACACATTCTGGCCACAGTTTCTTCCAAGCAGAGTTCAAGGTCCTCTTAGTCACTCCCTCCCAAGCCTTACCTGTAAGGTTTACACAATTGAGGATATTAAAGTGATCTCTCCAAAACTCTCTTAGAGTCAATTGAGTTTCTGAGGTCACTTCAAAGCACCTTTCAAACAGAGCTTTTGTGTACAGTTTTTTGAAGTTTGCAATAACCTGCTGGTCCATGGGCTGCAGGAGAGGAGTGGTATTAGGAGGCAAAAACTTCACCTTAATGAAGCTCATGTCCCCATAAAGTCGCTCTGCCACGTCTGTAGGATGACCAGGGGCATTGTCTAACACCAGGAGGCACTTAAGGTCTAATTTCTTTTCAGTTAGGTAATCTTTCACATTGGGGCAAATGCTTGGTGTAACCAGTCATAGAAAAAGTCCCTAGTGACCCATGCCTTACTGTTTGCCCTCCACAGCACACACAAATTAGCCTTGAGGATATTCTTTTGCCTGAACGCTCGGGGAGTTTCTGAGTGATACACTAATAAAGGCTTCACTTTGCAATCACCACTAGCATTGGAACACATCAACAGAGTAAGCTTGTCTTTCATAGACTTATGTCCTAGGAGTGCCTTTTCCTCCTGAGTACTGTAGGTCCTGCTTGGCATTTTCTTCCAAAACAGGCCTGTTTCATCACAATTAAACACTTGTTCAGGTTTCAGTCCTTCACTGTCTATGTACTCCTTGAATTTCTGCACATATTTTTCAGCTGCTTTGTGGTCCGAACTGGCAGCCTCACCATGCCTTATCACACTATGTATGCCACTACGCTTCTTAAATCTCTCAAACCAACCTTTGCTGGCCTTAAATTCACTCACATCATCACTAGTTGCAGGCATTTTTTTAATTAAATCCTCATGCAACTTCCTAGCTTTTTCACTTATGATCACTTGAGAGATGCTATCTCCTGCTATCTGTTTTTCATTTATCCATACCAATAAAAGTCTCTCAACATCTTCCATCACTTGCGATCTCTGTTTCAAAAACACAGTTGAACCTTTGGCAAGAACAGCTTCCTTGATTGCCATTTTGTTGGACACAATAGTAGCGATGGTTGATTGGGGTTTACTATACAACCTGGCCAGCTCGGAGACACGCACTCCACTTTCATACTTAGCAATGATCTCTTTCTTCATCTCTATAGTAATTCTCACCCTTATTCCTGTAGGGTTGGCACTAGAAGCTTTCTTGGGGCCCATGGTCACTTATTTTGCAGATAAAATCACCAAAAACACTGTAATAATACGAAGTGTTCCGATTGTATGCTTGGATGTTACCGCGGAGGCTGGCTGGTAAACAATGCCACCGGCGGAACATGTGAGGCTGGCTCAGGCCGCACATTAGGCGCGTCTCGGACGAATAGCATTGAGCGGGTTTTTTAGCGGTATGCGAGGCAAAATCTTAGTGATAAAATGTATCGGTATGCGGATTTAATGTTATGTGATGCCAACGGTATGCGGGGGTCCACTGTACTAGTATACCTAAATTCTAGCGCTTTCAAATCTAGCGAGAGAAAGCTGGTAGGCCTACATATGAAAGAATGGGTCTGTGTGGTCAGTGTGCTCAGTATAAAAAAATCCTGCAGCACACAGTGCGTAATGAGAAAAAAAACTTTGACCGTATTTTTGGATTAAAACAGGGATTTTACAATGTATTTTTGTATGGTATTTATTGTTGTATTCTAGTTTTCCTGGTCTCATTTTATAGAATGGAAGACATATTACAGAAATTGAGATGATTTTGACTGGTTTTACAATGAAAAGTACCTTGAAATTGAGCTCAAAGTAGCAGAAATGCTCAATTTTTACCAAAGATGAAAAGTAAACAAATCATGCCATGCGTCCAATACACGTCAACTGGTGAGTCTAATATTCTTTCACAAGTGCGCTGATATTATTTATACCATTTCTACACTAATGCAGTAGTCTGCATAACAGTGAATCTTCTATTTTTTGTAAGAATAAAAATTCAAAGTGGAAAACCAAAGAAATAAAAGAGGGGCCTGGGGACATGACTAATGAACAGAGAACTTGTTATTTTAGTGCCAGGAATGTCTTTCTTGTTTATTCTGGACCCTATTTGGAATTTGGCATTTTCTGAAATTTGTGTGAAATTGGCAAAATTGCCAATTTCTAACCACTTTATTGGATAGTTGAAATTGTTAAATGGGTGGTTTCTTGTACTTATTCAATAGAAAAATATTCAATAAAAAAAATGGAATTCTAGCGAAATAAATATGATTTTTGTCAACTAGTACACAGGAATTGGTCAAAAATAGGGCTCAAAGTGGGCGGAATCGCCGATGCTTAAACATCGTCGAGACTGCTAACTTTGCGAGAGCATAATTCCGTAAGTTTTCCATCGAATTTCATACTCTTTGTGTCATTATGATCGGGAAAAGGTTCTCTATCATTTCATAAGAAAAAATAATTTTTTTTTTCCGAAAAATTTTCGACCCTGAGAACAAGTTTAGGAGAGGGCCTCTCGACCCTGAAAGGGTTAAACCAGAAACATGGTCGGAGATTTTTTTTTTCCCTCGTGCACCACGTGCTGCAAGAGTACTTTTTTGTACATCGCACACTGACCACTCAGACCCATTCTCTCATATGTAGGCCTACCAGCTTTCTCCCGCAAAATTGGAAGCCGCTAGAATTTTGGCATGGTGATACGGGACTGACACTGGCTTGCAAGCCATAATATTACGGAACTGACAGTGAAAAGGTTAAATGTTTGAGCATTCTTGTTTAGAATAAATTTTTTTATTTTAAGTAGTGTTATGTATAGTACCAGTACCTCTTCAGTGGCTCAACTATTTATGTATACATTTTATCTTAG